AGCCGGGGAGGCAGTGGTCGCAGCGGGGCCCCGCCACGCCGGGCTTGCAGGGGCAGTCGCCCGTGCTGGGGTCGCAGAAGGTGCGGGGGCCCAGGGGGAGTGTGGCTGATCCCAGGGGGTGGCAGGAGCAGGCTGCGGGGGACACCGAGGGGGAAGAAAGAGCATCTGTGAGTGCAAAAGCTCTGCGGGACAAAGGCACGGGAGATACCTGCGAAACCACCACTCTGCCTAGGGACAATGATGTTTCTGGGCTTTTTTTTCCTCTCACCTGCATAAATCTGACCAGAATCTCCCTTTAGAAACCGTATGACTTTAACTTTTGTGAGGTATCTTAATTAGTCAATCTACCCTGGTTTCGTGTTATGTTTTGCCAAACAGGCCTTTATTACTTTCCTTATAGTATCTGGACTCCAGTCCAGCCAAGTACCCAGGGATTGTGCCTGGCTCACAGTGATGTTTAAGCAGCTGTGGGTGCTTCATTGCAAAAATGAATCAGAACATAATTGCTTTCTAAAGTAATAACACTGTCTTGCATCCAGGAGGTTAATAAAACCCCTCAGAATGGTCATTTTAATTAAACTGGAGGCTGAGCAAAAAGTACCCCTCTGTCTCTGTCTGTTTTTCTTTTAAAGCCATCATTTCAAAACATTAAAAAAAAAGAATGAGGACACCGATGGCTCAGAAATACGCTTTTGCATATACTTCGGGACACGGGTTTGCAGAGTGGATGTCAGAAACGCCATCTGCTCTTTTTTCCTCCCCTACAACCCCCTGCAGCAGAACAATGCACTGGAAGCGTACTGGGACACACTGGGAGAAACAGCCATTCTCACAAATCAGAAAGGATGCCCTAAAATGGGTGAAGTGAAATCCTACTTCTTAGGATTTTTCTTTTGCATAAACGTAATTTGTGTCTGTTGCAAGACTACAATCTTTTTTCCCCAAAAGATGTTAATCTTTTCAAAGATCAGAAATACAGTTATCAAAAGCGTGAGCCAAACCACTGACATTTGGCCTGGCCAGCAGGCAACGCGGTGCCCCGCAGGACCAGTAGCTGAGTGACTCGTGCTCTCCTTCCCTCAGGGCTTGGTTCTCTGACCAGGACATGTTACGGTCAGCCTTGTGCATTATGGCAAAAAAATCCCTGCTGAAAGACTTTTGTCTAAAACTCCATTTACATAAAAATTAGATTTCCTGAGAAAATCTCATTTGGAAGGAAAATTTTCACCAAATTCTAATACAAATATTTTTATTTTGCAACTGTGAAGGCAATAAAGCAGAAAAGCCACTGCATGCAACACAACCTTTCTTTCTCTTAAAATACTTACTGCTGCACACATATACTTAATTTTTGCTCTGACAACATTTTTGTGGTTTCAGGGATTTGACATACCTGGAGTGTCGTTTCAAAATATTAAAGGATAGATTAATATTGGCAGTTAACTTAGAGGCGACTACGATTCCAAAATCTTTGCCAAAGTAATCCCCAAATTTTCCCCACCCTTTCCATTCCCAAACAAATATAATTATATAAAATTAAAAGATTAGAAAGCCTCTCCACAAACTGCATAACTAGCTGCAGGCAGTGAACTCCGGTACCTTTAATAGCATAGTTTTCAACAGCGCTCACCGAGACTCGCATACCTTTCCCCTGAAGTCTGTGAAGTGTTTTATACCTGACACATGTAGCCAAATGCTCTCTTTTTCTACTAGATGTGGTGGGTATTTCTGGCATTCCTCAGGCCCTTCAGGGGAAATATCAAGCACTTAAAGCTCTTCTATTCTCCTGCAGTCAGTGAGCTAAACCCACTGCTCAGAGAGAGATTTGGTCCTGTTTCGGTTGGGTTTCAGGTGAGTTTTACACCCAGCCCTACCGGGGTTGGAGCTTTTTATGTTTTAGACAATGCTTTCACAGTATTTTTTTCTTAATGGAAAATATAATGGCAATGGCAACACCATGGTGAGGCAAGAATATTAAATTTACAAAGGCTGTTACGAAAAATACAGCAGCAAGCTCATAGGCAATTAAAATGGCAATTAAAAATGAGGATGTAGTTGGCTGTACTTTTTAATAAAAGCTGCAAAGACAGCTGTTGTAAAGGTTGGTCATTTCTACAAGTGCTGCGCACCCATCTCCATGGGCCCCGTCCTTCCTGGCTGCTCCCCTACGAGCTACCAGGGCGCCGACCTGCTTTCCATCGGTGGCCAGCGAATTGAAGATTTTTCGTCTTGCATCTTGGGTGGAGGCCCAAGATGACACTAAGCAGCATTAATCTGGATGCTTTGGGTGGCAAACTTACAACATGGTAAACGTTTGCGATGTGCTGCAGTGGGGACGTGCTGAGCAATGCAGAGACATAAAGTGCAGCCTGTCACTACGCACCGGGCACAGAAATGAGACTCTAGAGCTCAAATGTGAGCATGTTGTACCAACTTCGAAAGAAATGCATGAAAATAGGACCAAATGCTTCCATACTATGGCAATGGCAGGAAGAAAAAGACTGCAGGACCGATTATACAACATTTGGCAGCTGCAGCTACTGCTCCTTCGTGGGCTGCTGCGCTGAGTGTTGGTTTTAGACCCTGTTTTCCTCCTTCCACTCAAGCTGCACTTCACTGTAGCACAGGTAGTAGGAGACCCACATCCAGGAAGGTGAGAGGAGCAGCTGAGCAGCAGATAAAGCAGCTACAGACAGTGCTGGATGGTCCTTCGTGGTGGATACACGGGCGCAGAGCACGAGACTCTCAGTGCGAGGCTTTGGGACAGTGCCTGTCTCGTGCTGTGGCCACCCCACCAGGGAGGCTGGGGTTTCCACGGCCAAGGGAGCTCAGTGAGAGAAGGGCTGGCTGGGCACCACTAGCCTGGCACCAAGAGAAACCTTCCACAAGCTTGATCTTGCTTTCTTTTCGATTTGTAAGCAGCATCGTTAAAATGCCAATTTACCAACCTGTACTACATAGCAATATTTTGCACGTGACTTCCACATGCATATGAATTAACAGCTGCCTGTCCCGGCATCGCACATGCTGATTGGGATCAAAACCCAGTGAGCAGGACTCCAGCGGAGCTGGATTTTCCCACCCTGGATTGGTGATACTGTTGTGGTTTCTTCAGCTGCCAGCTAACCTTTGGAAATGATAAATATTTATTCTCAAAAACCTACAGTTGAAAAGCAAAAATAAACTCTGCAATTATAAAACCCGATTTATTGTCTGCAATTATACTGTAGCTGAGGCTTAAAAATTCATGAGGGATGTAAAGAAAAGGACCGATAGGTATGGCGGGGGGGAAGAG